TCATACTTAACGCTCCTTTCCCAATTATATTTTCTTCCCATCATGAAAAGAGCGATATACATATACCAAATGTCGGGAAATTAAGTCAGCCAGCCGTATACTTATTCATTGAAGGGCCGTATAAGACGGAATTTGCAGTGAGATCGCAGAATAAAGTGGAAACACTAGCATACTGCTGAACCAGCAGTGGTGGCAAAAAGTCACATTTCGTCTGTAATGTCTACGGGGAAAATTAGGGCAATTTTCCTCGCTTTTTTTATTGCCACGACGTTTTTTGCGTTGGAGGTGATAAGAGAAGGGAATTCCGACAGGGGACCAGACCGAAAAATTGGAGAGAAATATATACCTAATTGGAACAGAAAAATGTTGTCACATCACTAACGCCCATTTTTTGCTCAATCCCTCATAACGAAAAATACACTGTGCTATCACGAAAGTGATATTATACAGGGTGTTCCTTTATTATGATATGCTAATATTCAAGAGGCCGATTTTTCTACCCATTTCAATAATGAAACTTCATATATGAACAAATGTCGTAAAAGTCCTAACTTTTGAGATAAAGGGTGTCAATGTTGAAAATATGCATAGATTATTTTTTGTCCACCCTGTATAGCTTTTTATGATGACAAAATTCAGTTCAAATTATAAATTAAGATTTTTTGACCACCTTGTATCAATTTCAATTGAACACCAATTGATAGTGAGTGAAAAGTTGAGATAGGGACATGTAAACCGTTTTGACGAATAATGAATAGTTTCGACAGAAAAAAATTCTGAACTTGGAAAATCTCGATTTTGCACACCCTATATGTCAGTAACTTTCACTGCTAGACCCTAAGTATGATACGTCGTTGAAATCAGATCTCCAGGGAGAATTCAAGAATGAAATAAAATATAGGGTGCTCCAATGAAAAAAACATAGCTTTGATGTGCTGTGACCTCACGGAACACCCTGTGTATTTCAAAGAAATTCTGAAACGTGAAGCTCAATTATTACTTCGATATTTCATCACTTATGGAACATTTTGAAATTGAGGTCTTTTATTGTGAACGAATGAAATCATACTGTGTCAGTAACTTGTTTTCTGCATCAACCTTACTCAATGACTTATTGTTTACTGTTTTCTTTCATCTCTTTCTTATTCTCTGTATTAATTAGGTATCAACATTTGGTATAGTTTATATAAAATCAAACTCTTTGTTATGAAACCTGTAGTTTTTTAGAAACGAATAAACTGATTGATTGATAGATTCCATTGAATGAAGGGCCCCGTCCCCCGAGAGAGCGTACCATAATAATTATAGACCATACCAACATACAACCCGATTTGGAGAACAGGGTTTTTTATCCTTATGAGAGTGTTGAATTTATAACAAAAATGAATATAAAAATTAAGTCAGACAATGTTCCTTGTATTTTCCTGAAAATTCTGTCTATTTGGAATAAAGCTTCCCATCATTAGTAATCGGTATGTGCAGGTTCTAGCTAAGTGACCCAGGAACGGGATATGTTCACTACTAACATGTTTTCATCTTGATTTATATCTGATATCGTTAATCAACCAAAAAAGAAGAACAACTAAATTTGAATGCATCACATAGTGTAGCAATTCAAGGTAAAATTCCTGGCGGGTTCAAAATGCAAGGACAATTTCTATCAAGTAAATGTTGTATACCTACATTAATATGCAGCATCTCCGAGACGAATGAATTTGTTTTTTATCCATATTTCATAAACGCTCCGACCAATTCCAATGTTATATTTTGTTATATTGCTAATATCATATTCGAGAACATATTTTTGAATTCATATTTCAGTTGATTCAGTACTAGACCGAAATGTGTACACGGGACAAGTCGGTTAGACTTTTGCCTAAAAGTAAAGCATCGACTGATTTTATTAGGTGAATTTTTCTGATTTGTTTCGTTTAGGAGAAGTAAAAATGAAAGAAATTTGCTCGTTATTCAAATATTATCGGATGGAAAACCAATCACAATTTTATCTCACATAATAGTCATCGAAATATTCGAATGTATATTCGACGATTATATGTGTATTTTGTGTATGCCATATCGCGTCGTTTTTATGTGACTTCAAATATGTATGGGCTTTCATGTATCCGATTTATGACAATTATGGAAATATAACGCGACATAAATTGCCATATACCAGTTTGGATATTCAGCATTTAGAAGTAAAGATAACTCCTTTTATGCTCATTTAATGTTTGTATACCTATACCTTGCTGTTTTATTACTTTATTGGACAGTGCGTTCAATTCAAATTCATCGCAGTACCTACATCTCATTTGTAGAGATATTGATCATTGACATTCAAACTTCTCAAGATGACAACTTCCGTAGTTCAATACTTTTGATTAACCCTGTATAATAAGAACGTAGTCAATTTTTTGAGCTACCACTTGTGAATGTAGGTTTAAGTAGGGTCCCTTGGAGATTGACGTCAAAGTCATCCTAACAGGGTACGGACAGATCATAGCTGCATTCTTTTTTGACGATCTAGAGACTTTAGTTTTGTCTACTGGCATCCCTGACATTGCTGTCACGTCACATTCATGGGCGCTACAGAAGATCATTCAAGATTTTGATAATAATAATAAGATCATATGGCGAACGAGTTTTGTAATTAGGATCCGATTCTATTCAAAATTGGAAGGTTTCTCGGATTCTCCGGGGTTGGAGATAATGATTGTCCAATATGTAGCGGAAGAAAATTCTAATTATGATCTGATTCTATTTGAGATTGGTGTCTGGGGGGTTTTCGGGGTCGAACTTTATGATTTTTTGTCAAAATTGGAGAATTCAAGAAAGCGAATCCAATATGGCGAACGAACTTTGTGATTATAATCCGATTCTATTCAAAATCAAAATTGGTATCTGGGGATTTCCGGGGTCGGAGATTATAATTATAATGTATCTACCAACTAGTTAGGAAGAATTCCATTGCTTAAATTCATTTAAAAAAATGCAGAATTTTTGAAACTGCCTTATGTCAGAAATTATACCAGGCATAGTTTCAGAAGAACCTCTGCAAGTTCACTTGCGAATTCTGGAAGAGAAATTCTTGCTTGGAAGTCTACGAATATCGCTGAAGGGTATGTGCAGCAATCTCTCAAAGAATTGCAAAAAATTTCGATCCAAATTGTGGGCCACTGAAGTTAATGAAATTGATTGTAATCAGCCAAGTACGAATTCTGACGTTTTTTATGAAGATATCACGAAAACTGCATTGGCTCCAGATATCACTTCTAGTAGTATTCAAATAATCACTGCACAAAACTGCACTTTTAACATATTACTTAATAAAATTATTACTCCACACAAATTGATGATGTAGGATACAAGAGTGAAAATAACGTGCCTATAAGTTATTCTGTATACCTACTCCTTTTTTACTTTCATCAATAAATTATTTATTTAAGGGAGACGGAAAAATCATAGGTATAACATGGGGGTGAAGTAAATTCAATTCTTTATTTTCCTGCTCATTTTACGTATTGTGGATTGTAGATTGTAGATGGGTCGTATAGGCTGGGAGAACTCTCGATCACTGCGACCTAGAAGATCTATTGTGATTACCCCTATCTAGTTTTGGTCCTCTAACCCTAGACTTCTGATGAAGCCTACGATTTTCCTGACGGTTGACTTTTCTACTTCAGCAGGGGTGAGATAGACCTGTTCTAGGTGGTTCAGCCTTTGACGGAATAATACTTCACATGAGCAAAGTATGTGTTCCGCGGTTTCGGTCGCATTGTTACGAAAGCGGCAAGTGTCAGTCTCCGCCAGATCCATCTTTTTGAGGTGGTACCTCAGAGGGCCGTGTCTGCTTTGCTGAGGCTGAGTAGCTCTTTGGCTCGGTTCTGCGAATGGTTGATGAACCTTTTCGCTTGTCGTTGACCTGGAGTTGCTCTCCAGTAGGAGGACTTTTCAATTTCTTCTCATTTCCCGAGTTCTCCCTTTAGGTGACTTTTGCTTATCTTACAAAAAGGCTCAGGACCAAAAAGTGCAGATGCTGCACCTTTTTTTGCAAGGCGATCAGCTGCCTCATTTCCTTTGATTCCTTCATGCCCTGGAACCCACATAAGTGTGACTTTGTTGCCCTTTCCCAGTTGCATGAGTGTTTCAAAGCAGTCCCATGTAATCTTTGATGTGAAAACGAATGATTTTAGGGCTTTTAGTGCGGCTTGGCTGTCTGAGCAGATATATATGTTGGCACCCCTCAGACCTTTGCTCAGGCATCTTTGGGCGCAAAGGTTGATGGCATGTATTTCAGCTTGGAAGATAGTGGGGGAGTGACCTAAGGCTTCAAATAGCCTACACGTATTACTTTTTATCACCCTACTCTTCGTCCTAAACGACGTTTTATACATAGTGTGATATTAGTCACGCCATAAATTCTTCTCCAAGTTCGATTTCCGAAAACATATTTAGCACACATGACATGAGTACAGTAGTTTAGATACTCACATGGAGGTTTTCACCATTTCTCAATCGTTAAGGCTCAGCTCATTCAGTCAATTCAGTCAACCCCGGTATGCAGTCTAAGAACAGTCTCTTCTGGTGAAATATATTAAGCTTTCAGTACAATTCATATGTTCCCTACCTCGCAAAGATCATATTGGAGTAGTAAACTCTGAAACTAGAGGATTGTTCTTCTATATCTTGGTATAGTTGAATCAGGAATTCCATATGGAAATTACGTATGATACGACAATGACCTCAATATAACCTAAGAAACGACAAATGTCAAAAATCTAGTGTTTATACCCAGAATTGAATAAGGATGGAACTATATAACTGTTTCACAAACACTTTAGAGTGAGAGGAGACGAGGATCTGTCCGTACCCTGTTAAGATGACAAATACGTCAGTTTGCATCAAGGGACCCTAGGTTTGAGTACATAATTCTCATGGTAGCTAATTCTCACTTGTTGTTTTGTTGAATATACCAAGAGTTTGAAGTAGATTGTACTTACCCTTTTTAATAGAGGGCGTGGCAACCAAATGCGACGTCGCTTTCGTAGTGGTGGGCGCTGGAATCTCTGCAAACATAAGAGAGACGACTCAGCTAACTCATCGCAAGACATGGAATATGGAATTTGATACGGCTAATTAAATTTGCTAGTTAACTGCGTGAAATTTAGCTGAAGTTGCAAAACGTTCGCTATGCGAAGACTGCGAACTGTTATGGATGAGGTGCTTGCAAGAACATTAAATGGATTGAGGTTCATATGGGAACTATGCAGATTACAGAATGTCACGTTCGCCAGAGTAACAATATAATTGAATGATGATTGGCATTACAACAATGCACATGACTTTACAACTACAATTAGTAGTGGAGTTGATGTCAGGAAAAAACGACCGACACCTATTATTAACGAATTCAAGTTTCTGCCACCCAAAATCGGTCCTATTTTGTTAATAAACTACCATCAATATTGCAAAAAAGAGGAGTAATTCGACCGATATGCACTAAACCCCAAAATATACATGCTGCTTTTTCACACCAAAAGAATGAATACCGAACCATTCTGCCAAGACCAAGTTCCAAAATGGTAAACACGAATTTATAATGTTAACCCTACCACAACAATGCATGATATTTTTATTTTTGTTGAAAAAATTCTATTGCAGAACATGTAAGGATCATCGAAAAAAATCTCATTCTTATTTTGACATATTTTTTCCCAAGATTTTAGATTGTTGCATAATATGTGCAACATCATGAATGGTGAACAAGATTGAATAATCAACAATAATAAATATTCAATACGAAACTGTCAATATATCTATGAACGAAATATTCTGAAATAAGAATATGTGATAGCTCATAGCATTTGGGATATCCGAAGGTGTGTGAAAATGAATTGAAAAATCCAGATCAGTATTTGGAGAAATAAATTGATGATGATTTCTGGAAGACGAAACGTCGGATTTCAAAATCGGAAACTTCGATTCAATGGCCCATTGATTTGATCGATGACTTACTGATGGCACTATTTTTCGGTGATGAGAAAGGACATGCGTTGATTGTTGTTTCAATCACATAATTAATACGAATGTTGCACTTAATGCATTGTGCTGTTACAATCGTGTATTTCCTATGGATCAGGATCACACTATTTTTACGGCATTTGGGAATCAATGGGTATAATCCATTCCACAATGATCATTGAAACAGTTCTGATTGAACGATGAATAAAGGATATTGGGTCCTCAATGTCACTAAGTCACATCAATGAAATAGAATTTTTTCAACAATCGACAATTGATGTGTTTCCACTAGGTTTTCCATTTTGTTTCTTCTATCCTTCTGCGCATGAGCTGTCATTTGTTATTGTAAGATGTGAAGTGAACAAGTGAATAAATAGAAAGTTGTATATGAGTGCATTATTATTAAATCTCAACGCTTTTTTATTGAATACCACTGTTGAAATTGGTTGAATTTTCAAGTTTTTCTCTCAGAAAATGGGTTGGCAGAACGGTTTTCTGACCCATTCAAGCTGGCAGAATGATATACCACGACTTCGTTCAACATCAACAAACACGTTTTCACCATTTTGGAACATGCGCAGATTGGTCAGGATTTTTTCTCAATTCATCGAACAGGGCCATTCTAGATCTTTTATTCAATTGAAATATCAATGATAATTGGTCTGGAGCGATGAAGTAAGTAAATCATGTCGGTTCTTCCAAACCCATAACAAGTTTACATTTCTCTTAACTATAGTCAGTCAACTTATTATCGGGGGTGAATTTTTGGGAAGAATTGTATGGATTTATAAATGATAACCTTCCTTTGTGTTCATACAATAGGAAAGTACCTATAGCTAAATAATTTGAAAGCTAGATGAACATTCCAATAGTTGGAATTTGATAACGATTAGTATGGTATTAAAGATGAATTGATTCACTTTTGATAGGGATGTTTCAAAGGTTATAATGAATGTTTCAATATTGATAATTGTTCTTGTTCATCCTTAATGAATAGATTATGGGTTTGAGTTCCAATGATCATTTGATTCATTAGAAGTTTGATATGAAAATATTTATCCCAATTAATTTGAATTTCGCATGTTGAAAATAGGTTCGTTTTCCTCCTAAATTTCAAAACCATGTAGCCCGAACAACCTACAAATCAAGATTTGTCTTCACATACACATACATACAAATAATAACAGTCTATCGGTGAATAATTCATCACCATCTCTCTTGCACAAGGATTTAACAATAGAACGATAAGTAGCACAAAATAGTATTATGGTATGGGTAACGTAAATCATTATCATATCCATGCACATGATTGAATTACACAAAACACAGAAATAAGTTTAAGGGAAATTTTAATCACATTTCATTATAGTTTCCTTATTTATATAATACTTTCAATGTTATGTGGATATGGAATGGCTAGAATTTCATTGCGAGTTTGGAATCAAAATTGAATACCAAAATCATGATACTGTCAGTCACCATTTATCATGGAAATTTTTCGTCCCAAATCCACGAATTTGGATTGGAAATAATGTGATGAAATAATTCGAGAATATCAGAGGTCGCAGAGACAGCAACAATTATCCAAAACTGTGACCCCAATGAAATATTCACCCCTCATAAATTCTTCAGCAGTCAATTAAAGAGACAATTCCGATACTAATTACGGAGTGCCGGTACTGGTGAATTAGAAACAAAGACATTTTCCGAGGCAGAGCGGATATTTTATGTTCTCTGAGTTATTCATTATAATGCCATTAATCTTGATTAATCCCATAGTCGCAATCAGACTGAAATTAACAAAATAATCCGAAGAGAGATCCGACAATAGGCTCGTATTAAATAACATTATTCATTCAAACAGAACGTCAAAATCTATAAAAGGTTCCCTGAAATTAGTACAAAATGAGCTGTTCTAGTACATGTCTGAGAGTAGTGGAGATGTTGGGACTATTCCCAGGAAAACTGACTCATAATTGAACGGAAAAATATGTCAAGTTATTGAAGTTGTTTCGCTATGGATTGAAGGATTCCTCAGGAGTCTGAGAGAGGAACATGTAAGTATAGCCACATCTCCAGCAAGCATTAGGGTATATTGAGAGCAAATACACAATATGAATGACAATACCATCAGCCTTATGCTATATTTGAGAGGTCATGAAAATAACAACTGGATGATGAGCGAAGAATCGAAAAATTGCTATTTCACTCATCACATGAGCTGACCAATCACGAGCCAACGTGTGCTTATCGCGGAAACATTATACCTGTCTTTCAATTCTGATTGGTCTATCTATTGATGTTTTCAACGATGTAACCATGGATATCGAAGCAAAGTTTGGATGTAACCATGAAAAACCAAGCAAAGTTTGTCAGTTTGGCATAAAATAATTATGACTGTACTTGTCGAAATGAATCAGTCATTTGTGATAAATGCTTTTTATGCATCGTGAACGTGAAATAGTCTAGCAAAATACCACTCGTTTACATAAAAAGTAGGATCGATCCTTTTGGCAATCGAATTGTATTGGTTGGCAATATTCTTCTGCCGTTTTGGGGACAGTATATTGTATTTTAGACATATTATTTGGAATTGTTTATTATAGGATAGGTATTTTAGGCTAGTGTGGACGATTTGCGTTCTGTATTTCTCACATTTGTGTGTAATTAGTTAATGTTTGTGAAATTAAAATAAGTATAGTACCTAATAGATTTGTCACTTTCAACCATATATCTACTAGGTACTCATATATAAAGCATAGCTCTCCTCAAAGCGGCAACTTCTGTCTCTATAGGTGATGAAATCGAGCAAAAGGCGTTGATGCCGACATAGAGAAAAAATAATACGAAACTTGTCATACTAATGTGGCTGTTTCCATCCTTCACTTTTCGTCTTTATATTCAAAAAGTACCTCTCATTTTGGTCCCATTTTTGTTGAGATATCGTATAGGCGATGCGCCATATATAGAAATAGTAGATATATGGTTTCAACTGTCTATGTATCTTTATTTCTACACCATACCCACTTTCTTTGAAGAGGTGATAAAACTGAACGAAATTGGACACCATTATGAAACGTCTCCAGGACAGTTTTGTTGAAACGCGTCAAAGACAGTTATGTTGAGACCTGTCCAGGACGGTTTTGTTAGAACGTACTCAAAACGGTTGTCCTTGAACCGTGTCTGGGACGATGTTGTTGAAACGTCCCATGAAACTTCACTGAGGTAGGGCATTTACATTCCCTGGGACGTTTCTTAAACTTCAGAGTCTCTCTGATTATCATTTGCGGAAAGGTTTCAGATATCCGTAAGAAATTCATGAAACGTTTCTGATACTGAAAAATGTTTAGTGGGTAGGCTCTTCCAGCCAAAACTTCTTGATTGATTTCTGAATTGTATTCACCAAAGATGAGTACAAAAAATTGTGATAACCTCATATAATTTCACTGTTGATCACTATCTCCAGTAGTTAATTTGAATGAAACCCCACAAACTCACAATTCTAGCGAAATTCCCTCACACAAAGAGACATTTTTCTTCTCTGATTCCCATACATTATCTACTAATCTATCGAGAGAAGCACCCACCTTCTAATTTGATTACGCCATCTGTCTCTCCCAGGGAATTCTTCGCTACGCATTTGTAAGACCCGAAATCTGACTTGTTGACTCTGCGAATTTTCAGCATCATGTATTTCTTGTAGCCGTTGTCCATAGAAACAGCCTCATATTTGTCACCTGGAGACGAGAAACGGCCAATTAGTATACACGTAGAATCATTATAATTATGTAAGAGATATCATAACTAGAAGCTTTAGGATGAATATCATTCCCTCAATGACGGAAATATTAGCCCACCAGGTCACCAGTTATAACTACCATGAGTATGTTATGGCTTTCCTCGGTACCTTTCTCTATGAGGTGTCCCATCCGCTTTACTGCATAAGTGTCCTGCCAACCAACCCCTACTCCTCCTCCTAGAGTAGTCCTCATGTCATTCTCTTTTTGGTACTATTTCCTACGCTTGGTTTGTCTGTCTTTGTCCATGTCCAGGCAATCACCCTTCATAGTGTGTTGTTGAGCTCAGCCTAACGGCTTTCAGAGCTGCTAGTCAGTGTTTTCGTTGGTGTGCAATTTGAATGCGCCCCTTACAATGAGTGTAGTCTTCGTGTTTGTTTTTGTCTCCTCTGGGGCTTGTTAAGAGGGTGCCCTGTTGGATAGCTTCCCATTGTCTCTCTATGCCATATGTTATGGTACCCGAAAGGTTGAATGCCCAGGATCAAGTGCCGCCATATAACTAGCTTACGTTATATGATAGCTCCTCATCCCCATGTCCATCCACCCCCACTCACTAACGAGTGGAATTCAACCTTATGCATTCGGCAATCTGCATATGTTTTATGAAACCCCTTACTTGGTTTCAGTCCTTCGACTTTCAAACCTTTTTGTCTAATGTGTGTTTCCTAGCCTGACTTTGCGTGGTGGTTCCCTACCCTGATGGGAAGCAAATTTGAGTTTATGTATTATTATTATTGGTTCACATTTTTATAGGGTATCAAAGGAGAGACTCTTCTGTTTAATTATCTGATGATTATCATGCAACTCTTATTGATATTGATTTACTTTCGTTTGTTTATCTTATATTTGGTGCAGTAGCGGGTTTTCGTGGGTGTCTGTTCTTCCGAAAGTAGTCTCCGCGTGTTGTCTTATGTAGTTGTCTATGTAATCTGGGTTCATGTTCAGGTCCCTATAGATAAATCTATTTGATATATACCATGGGGCATTTACTGCCATTCTTATTGAGACATTTAGAAATGCATGTATTCGCTTTTTGTATGTCTCTGCGCATTGGCCCCATGCACTTGATGCATACAAATTTATTGGAAGTAGAATGGTTCTTATTAGGCGCAGCTTCAACTCTAGAGCCATGTTGCTTCTGCGACCTACTAGAGGCTGTAGGTTTTGCCTTGCGGCTTTACCCAAGTTCAGTTGTGTTGTGATGTGTTATCTGAAAGTAAGTTTGTTATCTAAGGTTACCCCTAGATATTTTGCCTCATCTGCCCATGGTATCTGTGTGTCGTTTAGTATTACGTGTCTTGTGGGTTTGGTACGTCGTCTAGTGAAAAGAACAGCTTGGCTTTTCTCTGCGTTGATTTCTATTTTCCAGTTGTTAAACCAGGTTTCTAGTGTGTCTATCTGTTCTTGTAGGTATCGTACATCATGTCTGCGTTGCTGGATCTGGCAATTATGGCTGTGTCGTGAGCGTATAGTGCGAGTTTGTTAAAGTTGTTTGCGGGTTTAGGGATAGCTGCGGTGAAAATGGAGAAAAGTAGTGGTGAAAGAACCGCAGCTTGCGGTACTCCTGCTTCTAGCTCCCTCTCTGCAGAGATTTCGTTGCCAACTTTACATTGGCATCGTCTTCCCCGCAGAAAGGAGGCTATTTGTTATGGCATATCTATATATGAATGCTTTATATGTATAGATAGAGCGTGAGGCAAGCAACCAACCGCTGGTTTCCATACAGTGCTCTAGCGGTGGGCGGAGCCTAAGAAAGTTCGGTTTCCGCCTGTAGGAATAAAACGACGGATGAAAGTGAAAAGAATATACTGGAACAATTAATTTCCATCCACTTGGCGAACAATGTGAACACAATGATCTCAAAACTTATCCAGTACTAGATTTCTTCAACAATTACTCTGGTACTGAACATTTTCGAATAGTACTAAATCTAGTACTGAAGTACTGACTGTAACAGCCCTAGCTACAACTAACACACCATACGTTTTATATACCTGCTCCTCGTTTGATTCATCAGTTTTAAAAAATAGATAGTTTTGTTGTTAACGTTGTTCATTCAAATTCTGTTCTTAGAAATATGAATATTCTCACATTTGCCTGAAAATATGGAGCTTTGCATAGTTGATTTCATTTTATCGTCATGAAATTCATAATAGAGTGATATAAAGTAGGCAAAAATCGCTGATTCAGAGCTAGGCGATTTATTATTTTTCCATTTGATTAATTTTCAAAAGAAATATATTTTTCTCTCTGGGATATGACTGTTGCTCTGAGTGACTTGTTCTCATATGCATTCAAAACCCAGCAACCCACACAAAATTATTCACAAGTTCATAGCAGGCTGACTGTTGGTGGCAATCTGTATATTCAGGTTAATTAAATTGAGGCTTTGGCTTTGTTTCGCGAATGCCGAAGCCTTGGTCCTGTATCACCTCGTAGATTCATTTGATGAATTATAATAATAGACGCGTATAAAAATAATAGAGAGATTGTCGTTCAAGCAGGATGAAACACGATGAACATAATGAAATTGAGTAAAAAACGAACCGAATGGACATAACTTGACAAGAGATTTTGTCATTCGCCAACGGTTGGTTGTTCAACAAGAGGATGGGGATATATTGGAAATCAACTCACTCATAGTCATGTAGATCATTTCACAATGAATATCACAACAAAACTGGCAAATCTTGAATATTGTCATCAAAAGTTGGTTCCATTCGTCGTACTGGTTCCGATTTTTTCAATTGTGCGCGTTCAGCATGATCCACTGAAAATTCTGAAAGCGAACCAATGTCAGGAAATGATTTCCACTGGCTTGCAAACTTGCTCTTAGCTCGCTCAGAGTTCGAATTCTTATGAATTTGTTTGGGCGACGATGCGATTTTCATAACCTCGAAGCATTGGGTGTATTATGAATATATCTTAATGGAGTTGATTCTTGAATTCATAGACTGTTCGAATACAAGTGATATAATATATGATATAATATAATGAATATATTCGAACCAACCTGAATGTTCTTTGCAGGAAATTGAATTCGCATTGAAGATGATTAGATTTGTCCTCGAAAACACTTATTCTGCATGGGAAATATCTCAGATTTATTGCCTTTTAAGTAGATGCGGCTCCTGAAGTTGCTTAATGATCATTTCTCTGTAATCAAATGTTGTGGATACGATTTCATGTTTTCATCATAATTACAAAAATACACTCCTTTTTTATTTTTCAACTTTCTTGATGTTGTGAGATATTCTTCGAAAATCGTGCGTTCCTAGGGAGAATATAGGGACAGGAGGTAGGTATTGGTATTTTTTTTAACTTCTGGAAATTGTTTGCTGTTGGAAATACGTCCTCAGGCAATGAATTCCAGAGCCTAGCCGTTCTATGGATGAAGGAGTTTTGATAAAGTGCTGTTCGACATCTTTCGAAGTTGACAACGAAAGGATGTGCTGACTGGGCTTCTCTAGTTCGTCTAACTGGTATTGCTAGTGAAGGGATGATAGCAGAGATTTCCGAAGAACATTTCCCGTGAAAGTATCGATAGAAAAGTTAAAGGTCGCCGACCTTTCTATACGGTGTTCCAATGATGTCAAAGAGTGAGTGAATGTGGCGTCACCCACCAGGCGAATGGCTCTTCTCTGGATGAAATCCAAGAGCATCAGCGCATGTTTTGGTGCTGAACCCTATATGTAGGAACAGTATTCTAGAACAGGCCGTATTTGCGCTTTGTAGATCATTAGAAGCTGTTGAGGTGTGAGGAAACTTTTCGCGAGGAACAAGAATCCGAGTTTTTGTGAAGCAGCTTTTGCGATGGATCTGACATGATTATCCCATGAAAGAGTGTTGCTGATGGAAATACCGAGCATAAATATGGTGGGTTTCATGGGGATGGTGGTGCCAGACATTACAATATCGGGCATACTGAGTTCCGCCTTTCTAGAGAAAATACAGGCTTGAGTTTTGGTGGCGTTGAATTCAACTAGGTTGTTGGTTCCCCAGGCTGTGATTTCAGCAAAGTCTTCATTGACAGCATTGACCTGCCTGAGCCGTGAGTTCTCAGTTTCCTGGGAATAAATGGGAATTCTGGAAGAGAACGCAGTATGGAGGGTACTATCATCTGCAAAAGCTGTGGAAGGGGCAAGTTGTTACTCCCAACAGATCATTGATATGAAGAAGGAATAATGTTGGTGCCAAAATTGATCCTTGTGGAACGCCGGAATTCAATGGTATCAGACGATACACCGTCCACCACCACGTGAAGCGATCTGCCTGAAAGAAAACTCGATAAGAGATGGCATAGCTGAGGTGGTAAGCCGTATGATGGTAGTTTGTGGAGGAGTCCTCCGTGCCAAACACGGTAGAATGCTTTCGATATGTCCAACGCGACAGCTAGAGATTCTCCGTGTTTTTCTAATGAAAAATTGCGAATTTAGTACTTGTTTAGTAATTCACGTCTGGTCACTATAGGGAGTAGGGAAGTACACACGAGATACAGTCTCAGTAAGTAGCTTTTTACGCACAGTATAAGCACATCGCACAGTTTTCGTTTATTCCGCCAGTATAGGTATGTCATCATCGCGTAATCGCCGTAAACAGCGGCTGACATAACTGGCAAGAATTATTGTGGTTCATTCATTAATACGTATATGAACTCCTGAGGGCTTGAATTGAAAGTTAGTAAGACATGTTATTCCGTAGTTTTCATGTCATCGCAATGTCAGATGATGACCCCTTGACTACCACGATTCTAGTTTAAAAATTGGATTTCCCCTTCAGTTATCTGAGACATTGACAAGTAGAGAATATGCAATCAGTTTCCTACATAAAATAGTAACTGATATAGGAAGATTTTTGTGAAGTAATTCGATCACATCAGGAAGCCATGGCATCATGAATCAGACTCAGCTCATCAGACTATCTGTTCGGTCTTTTCTTGA